TATAAACGTATATATATATATATATATATTACAAAACGTCTTTATAAACGTATATATATATAACAAAACGTATTTATAAACGTGTATATATATATATATATATATAACAAAACGTATTTATAGTAAAATGTATTTATAATAAAACATATTCAAAATATCATATTACAAACATATTAATAACATATTAAAAATTTATTAATAACCAAAAATTTTAAAAAAAATCATTTTTTTAATAGGCCCGGTCGGGACCGGTTATGGGACCGGGACCAGGACCGGTTGGGACAACCGGTTACTAATAACCTTGACCGGTTACAAGGAAAATCACCGGGACCGGGACCGGGACCGGTTATGTCGGGACCGGTTACCGCCGGTTTTTGTCGCGATTAGATCCGGTAGGGACCGGTTAAGGCCCGGCGCGGGACCGAATTTTGGCCACCTCTATTGTAGACATACAAAAATTCAAACCTGAAAATATAAGATGAGATAAATAGGGCGGTCTTAATGGCGATACGACCGCCACACTTACAAAACCCTACTCTCTTTCTCAGATTGCCATCAGCAGCTATCCACTCCAATTGAGGAGGAATCATCAAATTTTACAGAGCAGAGCTGGTTTTCAGGGTCTCATTTTTATCAGTTATCTGCTCGTTCAACAATCCCATCAATTGTACTTGTTCTTGCTTTGTTTCTCTTCCCCAATTTTTCAACACTTCATGTCTATGGGGGTTTTCCTGATTGGAATCCATATGGGTTTCCCTCTAATATCTGGATTATTCATGTGTGTGTAGATATGGATCGATACCAGAGGGTAGAGAAGCCAAGGACTGAGGCGCCCATTAATGAGAATGAGATTCGTATAACCACTCAGGGGAGGATGCGCAACTACATCACTTATGCTATCACTCTTCTCCAGGTCTTTATTTTTGTAATGTGTTTTCATTAGCATCTCATCTTATCGTCGATTTGGGATTGTTATCCTCATAGTTTTTTCGACGAATCATTTGTTCATTTGGAGTGTATATGTTAGAGCTATGTTTGCATATAAGTGATATGATGTTGTAAGGATTCAACCTTATGTTCGCATAATATGTGATGTGATGTTATAAAGATTTAAACCTTCATGAGTGCAACTGTGATCATCTGCATTAATCCATGTGTGTGTGTGTGTGTGTAATGTGCATTTGTCGTCTACACCTGAAGGTTGAATGGATATGTTATTACAGGAGAAAGGATCTGAGGAGATTTCTCTCAAGGCCATGGGCAGAGCTATCAACAAAACTGTTATGATAACGGAACTGATCAAGGTAGTTACAGATTAGTATATGAGCATTTTGATTGTTTCCACAACCATGTGATGTGCCATTAAAATAGCTTTTTTGTACCAGAGAAGGGTTGTTAATCTCCATCAAATTACATCGATTGGTTCTACTGATATAACTGATATGTGGGAACCACTAGAAGAAGGCCTCCTCCCGTAAGAACAAAACAAATGATGTTCTGCCCCATGATGTGATTCTTCATCTTCCATTTTTTCTTGATGTTTTGATGATCGGAAAATAACTTACTTTTTGTTTCTTGAATGTAGTCTTGAAACGACCCGTCACGTATCTGTAATTACGATTACGTTGTCAAAGAAGGAGCTTGATACGACATCTGTGGGGTAATTGCTGCCTAAACTTTCTATAGATAGTTAGTTCATCACCCATTATTTCTTTGTTGATAATAATAATGTATGTGATAATTAGTTAAAAGTTTCATCATATTAGTGATCTAATGCAATTCTATGGTTCCCTTGCTTCATACACTCCAAAATTCATGTAGAGAATTTTTTTTTGGCAAAGATTCAAGCTAAAGCTGCATTTTTGCAAATAATAGTGATAGAACATATCTTTGGTGAGCAGGGTGCCTTTATCAAGGGGTATTCTGAGGTTTAATAATGATCAAATCACCTTTTCTTATTTAACTACGTACCCAAGTAAATATTTCTTTATTTGAGAACGCTGGGGCGTATTTGTTACTTCTTATTGGATCTCTATAGTATGCATGTTTTCTGGTTTGTTTCTTGCATGTGACGTTGATACGAAACGAATCTGACTCACATTTGGTCAAACATGTTCTCTGTTATGGAGTGCATGCAGTTCAATTCTCTAGGATTAGGAGAAGTGGTTCACACCACTATCTTTTAGTAGTTAAGTGTTTCGTTTATTTCTTTGGAGACCACCCATCTGGAATTAGGTTACTATCAAACATATCAAGGAGAGTTGAGTAATTTTTATTCTTGTTAGTTCAGTCTGCTTTACGATGAGGAAGTGGTATTCATCAACTCAAAGGGGTTCAACATATTATTAGTAAAAAGTTGAACAAATTCTTGTTATAAAATGAAATTCCCTCTAAAAGTATTTTATATTTGACTTATAAACATGATTGTGAAATTGTCTCATAATCAGATCTAGATGTGATGATAGATATCAACTTAAGTTATGTTTTTTATGAAGTATGTATGAATATAGTGTATATTCATGTATGAATGTGCAATGTATTCTTGTCTGTGTTATTCATGTATGAATATCAACTTAAGTTGTGTTACTTAAGCTTTTAAAAACGCGAAATCAGGCCTTGAGGCATTTTCCTAAAATGGTACGAGGCGTAAGCCTCGAGGTGGAAATATATATATACACACACACATATATATGCATACGTACTGCATATTATAATTATGCCAATATGCACATTATACACTTGAGTATTAGACATAATATATATATATATATATATATATATATATATATATATATGAACATATCTCATACTAAATTACCAAAAGAATCTACATACACTTTTGTCAATCACGAAATATAAATATATTAACAAAGAAAAAAAATGTTGTTCTACTAGTAACATGTATATATATGTATGTATATGTATATATTAATATGCTCACAGCTCATGAAGAAAACGTATTAAAATATCAAGAAAGTGGGAGAAAAAGAGAGACTAAATATAAAAGAAGTGTATTGAATATGTACATATAATAATACACCGGTGAATTGGAGAAGAATCGAAGAAGAAAACGTAAAGAAAACAGAAGAAAACTGGAACTCATGTAGGACAAAAGACGAGTAGCAGGTAGGGCTTAGGAGAACTGGAGACGAACAAGGTTTTCAGAAAAGAAATCGAGAAGGTTCAGTCATTGTTTTAATAATTTAGCCTCTGTAGTGAGGCATAGCCTCTCCACGGTCTCAAGCCTCACCGCCTCGGACAACCAAGTTGTACGCTTTGTCTGGGGATTGAGAGGCGCCACGCTTTTTAAAACCATGGTGTTACTAACTTACTATAAACAACGTCGATGCATGGTAGTATTTCCAGTTTGATTGTCATATTCTCTGAAAAATGCGAACTTTTTGTAGCTTAACATTTTTTTTGCTTTTTTGTTTGCAAAATGCAGGTACCAACTACCGATTCCAGCTGATCAGGTGAAACCGTTAGTGGAGTATGAAAATGAAGGAGGTACGATTTATGATTGTAACATCTCGCCTTTTGTGAAGTCGATCATAGTATGAGAAACTTTATAAGATGTTGCATCTTCTTCTTGCAATAGATGGATCACCTAACATGCGAGGAAGAGGTCGCGGTGGTCGTAGAAGGGGTAGAGGTAGAGGTAAAATAATCATCTTTACCTTTTTTTTAATATGACTAAGGGATAATAATTTTGTCATATTTGCTGGCAAACCATGTACCCTCTCATGAAACTTGCAACACTTTCGTTTTGGGATACCCATGAACATTATAACACTTTATTATTGTTAACCATTTGTGTCCGGGACAGCTACTGCACACCTGGACTAATCCTAGGGAGCCCCGAAGAATAGCCACCCAATGGCTCGGTGACCTCTGAGGAGAATCCCCAAAGGCTTAAGCCTTGTTGGGCATTGAGCTAAGCCTACAGGGAGGCGATGATGAGGCGTATTATCTTTTTCTTATGATAAAGATCAAAGAGGCACTGAGGTGGGCTATAGTTTTACACGTGTTGATGAAAGGCCCTAAACAATGTAAAATTGGGACCCAATATTTTGGGGACCCTGTTCAAAACCAAACATTTAACGTGCTAAAGAACCGCTTTGCATTGGAGGGTTTGTGTGGTTGTTAACTTTAGGGCCTTGTGGGTTTAGTGAAGAAGATGCAACTTCTTTTATCCCATGAAAATCACAACATTTGAGAAGTGTGTGTCGGCTTAATTTGTTGAATATATATATTATACTTCAAAAAACAACTAAAGCTGAAGTTGTCTACTTTTGTATAGGGAATTATAACAATGGAGGGATCGAGTACAATGGAGATGGTGGGTGGGAAGGATATGGTGGATGGGACGATGGGCGTGGTTATGGTGGACGGGGTCGAGGACGAGGAAGAGGTCGTGGTGGATATCGTGGACGCGGGAGAGGTTACGGTGGCGGTGCTCCACAACAGGAATTTGGTGGTTATAATGATTACGGAGGATCAGGGCGAATGCCTGCTCCTGCTGGGCGTGGTAAGCTCTATCATGCTAAATCATCGAAGAACCATTTTGAAGGCTTTCTTTGGCAAACGAACCAAAAAGGCAACCAAGTTTGCCTTAGTTTCTATTTAGCGTAATAAAAAGAACTTCTAAATCAATGTAACAAAAGTGTTTATTTTTATCTGTTATGACCTTCTGTTGTTAGTTACATTTGATGACAAGCTTGACATCCACATCATCGTCTTTTAAGAGCAGCAGGTCAAAACAAATACAAAATAGGAAGATTTTGAAACTTCATTACATTTGAGCGTGTTTTCAAAACGATATCAGGAATGATTATGTTAATGAATCTTGTGCAGGACGTGGTCGTGGTCGTTGGTCTGGAAGGGATGGGAGCCGACGACGTGGTGGTGGTCGGGATTTGAGATCAGATGGACTACCAGTCCAAGCCGTTGCTTAAGGTATACGTTTTTTTGGATCTTATGTGCCAGATGCCTGCTCTGATAATTATGTTGTCCAAATACGGAAAAAACTCCGCCCAGAAAACCGGAAGATGTGTTCCTTTTGTTAAGAGTTTCGAGCATATAATTAGCTGCTATTGTCGGGTGGCTCAGTATTTTTGTAGTTTTAGAGATAGGTAGTATTTGCTTACAGAAACTCGAAATTTGTACACCATTTTTCATAGAAATAATAGAGCAGTACATTCTTTCATCCATTACCGCAATCGTCAAAATCTGTCTCCGCCGTGTAGCTTAATTGGCAAAGGAGCGGGCGACGACTTCGCCTAAATACAAGACAGGTCCTGTTTCGATCGCGGGCCCTCGTAGGCCTTAACCGTTGAATGAGCAAAAGAAGTGCCTCTTCACATTGTTGTCTTTGAAGACAGGTTCTGTGTAGTGTTTGCTGGTATCACTGGTAATCAATTTTTTTGTCCAAGAAAACAAACGGAATTCAATATATGCGCCAATTCATTAAACCAAACCGGAAGAATCTCGTATATGTTTTGATTGATTATTTAGTTCAAATATGGGCCTCTTGGGAGTAAGAAATATAAGGGGTGTGTAGAAAGTCATCCGTTTCGATTGGAATTTACCGCTCATAAGTATGGTGTAGTGGCAAGGTCGAAGTCTTAAAAGCCACGGTATTTTTTAAGAGAATAAGAATAATGGAGACCTATCATTTAATTAAATAATATCTTAAATATAATTTTTTTTTAAAAATCGTTCAAAAGGGTATATGTATTACTTATTGTATATAAATATGGAAATTCATTTATCTTTATAAAAGTTATTTAATAAATTTAATTAAGGTATTTATTTATGAATTTTTTTATAATTTACGTGGTTTGATTATGATTAATTTTTTTATTTATTCTCTTTTATAACACTTAAAGTAAGTAGGATTTTGTTTTTATTTGAAGTATTCATTTTCATTGAAGCAATTTACATAAGAATTTTGTATAATTTTCGTCAAAAATCACATGTGATAACCATAATTAATCGATATTTTTTTTTCTTAAAAAAGAATCACTAATTTTCGTCAGTGCATTATTTATGATATTAATCGTAATAGGAAAAAAATGTAAGTTATATACCACGTTACATGTGATATGTGTAAATTATGAATCATGTTTTGAAATACATGTGATTATATATATTTTAATTGTGTTTTTCTGTCACATATGATTCCGTTTTCATTATTATTTTTTCAATGTTTAATTTAAATCATTGTTTTTTTCTTTTTCAATGTTTAATTTGAATCATTATTTTTTAAAATTTTAAATCGCATGTAACACCCTATTTTCTATATTTGCATATAAACATGTATTTCATATATTAAGAAATATAAATACACCATTTTGGTCCCACTAGTACAAGAAATTATAATGCAGAATATACACTCAAAATTTTCAAAATAAACTTCTTGTACATCACATGTATTCCAAAAAATCCATCAGTTAACAAGCTGATCTTCACATAACAGATATGCACATTAGGAAAAATAATCACATTTTCCCCTTCCCCTTATCCCTGGACACAGCCGGACCTGCAATACATATTTTTAAAACACAAAATGAGGGTTAAATCATGAGGTCTAGTAAGAAAACCCCTTCTTTGCAATTACAGGGTGAAGATCACCAAAACCTGTTTAAAAACCACATTTGAATACCCAACCACTTTAAATAAATTTAACTTCAGTAAAACAACAACTGCAAGTTATAAAAGCATTTTTTACCACAAAGGATAATGTACCACTCAGGTTCCCACAGGCATCTGGAACACAACTCTCAAGTCTCATCAGACTAGAGCTTACAGTCTCAATCTCTGAATCATAAAAAGAAATACAAATCACTAGAGTTTTTGGTTATTAATAAAAGCTTTTTAAGATACAAACAGTTTTAAACTTAAATGAAACATGAATCAAATAATAACCAAAGACCCTCTGGGTTTTATTTCAAATCTTTACTCTTTTGAACAATCAAAATACAATATCTGATAACTCAAAATCATTTGAAACACGGGCAATTAATGCCTCCGGCTATAAGCCATTCCCCCTTCTTAATAACATCGTTGTTATCATTTCAATAAGAACAATATTTCCAAGTCTTCATGTTACAAAGAAATGTTGACTCAGAATTATCGCATCTTAAGGATGTGACAACAAGAGCTATAATAGTAACACACACACACACACACACAGACAAATGTCACTCTTATCCAAATGTACACCTCTCTTTAATATGCCACCCTTATCCCATTATACAACACACATTGATATGCCACCCTTATCCCATGGTACACCTCTCCTTGATATAACATCCTGGTTTCCTCATTAAATCTACAGATAAATATGTAGTTTTAACCAAATAATGGCTTCAAAATAGTTTCATATCATAAACTTTATCTCAAGAATTCTCACAGTTCTTAAATCCACTTTTCAATCTCATCTCAGTATTTCTTTCAGAAACAATTTTCTCAACTCAACAGTTTTGAAAGAAACAACAATATCTTTTCTTAATTTAAAATCAACATTTGAAAGATACGGGTTACCTTTCTCAACACAAAACAATTTTGAAACTGTTAATCAATATTTTGGAAAACAACAATTTTCATCGGACAAGCTCTAGGAGATAGCTGCCCCTCATTGGCTAACACTATGGCCGATAACCCCTTTCACCGGTCAACATATACAATCCAGACAACACTTGGAAATAAAAACATACTTCATCGGTCAAACTATGTCCAGTAACAACCTCACTGGTTAACACTGTGTCAGGTAACAACCTCACCGGTCAACACTTAAAACATCAACACTAAACATCGCTTTGTCCATGAGCATCCTCATTGGACGATAATTTTCATAACAATCCGACACGGTCGGAACGGACGAGAAATCCCCATGGGTACCCAATTGGTGTATCGGCCAAAAATGAGTGTTAAAAATGGTGTTAATGCTTAACGTGCATAACTTTTGCTATGGGACACCGTTTTAGGCGCATGACTACTCAAATCGAAGCTTGGAATGAGGATCACACGGTTGCATGAAGGTTTGTGGTAATGCAACATGATTTGAGTGGGTTTCGGCAAAATGCATGACGCACGTTTGTTTGATTTGGCCAATGCGTGTCTCCGGCAATTTCCGGCAAGAGAATGGTTTTTTATTCAGGTTTTTTCTTTTATTAAGGTTCTTTCACATGTTATAAATCATATTATTTGTCAGACTCGACACCCGCCACAATTCGATCCCAATAAAAGCTAGTTTAGCTCCTTTTTGTTTGGCAATAGGGAGTGACAACGATTCGGTTAAATTGGTTATTTGATTTGATAGGTTTGATTCATTGTCTTTGTTTTGTTGGATACAACAGAAACTGAACTGTCCACTTGTTCTTCTGTTCAAAACTAACTGAAACCAGACTACTAACATATTCAAACATGCAGTTTCAGTGTGGTTCAGGATTTTATTGGTTTCGGTTTTTCATGTTCACCCCTACTAGTAAATAGCAATGATCTAGCTTGAGTCCACTCGTTTGTGCTTCAAAGAAAATACAATTTCTTGAATTACTTTTCCATTAATTTCTCGTGCTAGTCAAAATACTGGATGGGAGGGTATGAACAAGGCTAAATTGTTTATACCCTCCACTAGTTCGAGGTTTTGACCTAGGTAAAACAACATTTTGTTGGGCAAGTCCTGGATTTTAGAATTGAGAAGGATGTCCGGGAAGGCCCTATGAAAATTTATAGGTGAGGAAATTGCTTAATAAGACGATGATTAGTTGCCGATTCGAGAGGATGATCAACCTTGAGTATTTACATTTCGGTTATTTACTTTTCTTGTAATTTATATTATTGTCAATGTTTTACATTTTTTTTGCTTTAAAAAAGTTCCACTTCAGCCATTCTAGGCTAAAACATAGCATGGTTGTGACTTTGAGCTTATGTTATGTTGGTGGAAGTTGTTTTGTAGTAACAATTCTTTCAAACCTATTCATTTAAAGTTATATTATCAAAACAATCCATAGACAACTTTTTTTTATTAACCTGGATATCCAACCCGCTATGCAAGCCGACTAATTCCAGGGCGACCACCTGCTTTGCAGATATTCCAGAGTCACCGCATTTGAACCTTCGTGGCCACAAGATGATTTTTATTTCTCATTGGATTTGAACCTGGGACCTCCTGGTACTTTTGACCTTTGGAGCCAAGCTCAAACCAATCAGGCACCACCCTTGTGGTTATCCATAGACAACTTGATCACTTATCAAAATGTTAAAGTGGGTTTAGACTTAGAAACTAATCATCATGCCACTTCAATTTCAATGATACGGAGGTATGCTTGGAAATGCTACTTAGAATCAACGGAACTTGTTCATTACCATATGGCTTATTCAAGGGATAAGTTGTCAATGCCTAGTCTTCAACCCTTCAGAAATATGAGACTTGGACTATGAATAAGTGTTTGCCTAAGCTTATATCTAAACTTAGGTCTAAAATATTGTATGTTACAAAGTATTAATTAGTCCAAACTTTTGTGTATAAACTTCTGTAGGAGATGTGTCCTACCGACATACTTAAAAAAGAAATTGAGGTATTAATTGACATGGCATGTGTAATCACACTTTCATACAAACAAAAACCAGATAAAATGTACTAAATAGCCCAAACTTTTGTGTATGAACTCCCATAAGAGAGAGTATCAGACTGATATATTCCGGATTTTTTTAGGTATTGATTGACCTGACATGTGTAATCACGCTTTCATACAAACAAAAACCAAATGAAATGTGTATATAATATCCTTTCCGGTACTGTATTGGAAACACATAAAAAACCAAATTAAGGAAAAAAAAAGACCAAACAAGTAAAGCTAAGGGGCTGTTTGGTTGATTTTTAACTAGGTGATGTACAGATAAAGTTGTGTGTGTGAATTAATTTGTCGGTATAAATTGGAATTTTTTTTGTTTGAGATGGTTTTTTCATAAATAAAACGAGCGTATAATTTGGAGGGGAATGTACGGAAACAACTTGACTCTCCCTAGAAGTTTACTGAACAAATCATTTTCTATACCATAAAGCTACTACCAAACAGTCATATATAGCCAACTAAATAAGTTATGAGTCTCATTAAGTTTATTAAGCTACTAACGAACAAACCCTAAATATTTGATTAAAATGTCAATGTCAGTAATGTTCGCGTTAGACAGATATTAAAGACTTAAGGGTGAATATGTCATTTAATCTATCTTTAGGGTAATGTGAATGGAATTATAACCCAATGATTCAAAACAAGTTCCGGGTTGTTTCACTTGAAAGCGACCCAACTCATCGAATAAAAGTTTTCAGATTTAAAAACATTATCTCTTAATAAATTTGAAATACAGAGAAAAATAGGTCAAAAAAATGTAACTTTTGCAATAACCAAATTGAGCACATGGGTAAAACATCCGTGAATGTAAGAAAAATCAAATGATCCCATATATTTAGCATATCGGGTAAGAAAATGGACATGTTTTGTTACGAGTCTATAAAAATCCGTCAACCCGTAATACCCGTCTAATCCAACTCGTTATCAACTCAATTAAACCCAACCCACTTAACCGTCAAACCACCTACCTGCCAATTAGGAGGGTTGAAATTGGGTTGGGCCTAGTTCAATCCGTCCAACCCGTTAACCCGTCACTAATATATAATATTTATAAAATTTTATTTATATATATGTTTATTATGTATATATATATATATATATATATTAATGTATAAATTTTATATAATTTTTATTGATATTATGTTTGTATTCCATCTTAACAAAATGTATAGGTTACCAAAATAGATTCACAATCAAAGAATTATGACAAATAATCTAATTAATAAGAGAAAATTATTGAAATCTTTTTTTGCAGCAACAACAAATTGATATGTCGGAGAATATGAATTATATTGATAGATATTTGGTTGACGAATCCATCAATTTAAATACCCCGTCATTTTATATTGCAATTTAGTGGAAAGAAAATGTTTAGTTATAGGATTTCGTTACAACAACATTAGATCTTATAGGATGCCTAGAATGGCAAAGCGTCCTAATATGATACTTTATAAGACGAAATAAGAAAAATGTCTTATTTAAAAGAGCTACAATATGTCTATAGAATGATTTTGGGCGTCTTAACAAATTCTACGACGCTTTTAAAATAAAATGTTGTATTAGTTATTTTATATGACACGACTTGAAGAAGTGTCATATGAACATAGGTGTCCTACAAATAGATGAGTTTACGAAACACTTCTCAAAATATTTATATAATATAACTAAAACTATATTTTATTTATAGATCGTTCTAAAACACTTGTTGAAATGTCAAAAAACGTCCTATAAACCTATTATAACATTTTCAAATAGAATGTTTTATAGCATGATCTATAAACTTAAGTTTTATGAATTATTTCATTCTTCAAATTTTATGTAACTACTAACCAGCGAACCCAACCCAACCCGTCTCAACCTGTAAGGGTTGTGTTATACTTTTAAATGAGTTCGGTTGGGTTAAGATTTTTCTAAATCATCATAATTGGGTTGGATTGTAAAAATATGGTAAACCGCCCAACCCAATACATGTACACCCCTGTGTTTTGTAAAATGAGTGGAAAGCTTGAGCTTTGACTGTTGACGCCACTCACCTGTCCATTAGAGATTTAGAGGTGCTCAAAAACCCTGCCAACCCGATCAATCAAACCCAACGCGAAATAACTCAATCTGAAGCAACCCGATGTCTAATCGAGTTGTAAAATTTTCAAACTGTAGGTATTGGGTTGATATTGAGTTACTATTATTTGAACTCAACCCGATGAACCTGATATCCTTTTATTTCTTAGATTTAATATGATTGTTGAATTTATATTAATATATACATTAGACAATTACACTATCACGTACGCTCTTCATATACACATATTTTCAATCTATTCACATCTCTATATAACCCATTCCTATATATGTTCAGTAACTGTGAACATATATATGTAGATTGAGAAAATTAACTGAATATGATATACGTAAAAAATATGGATAAGTTGTATCAAATGGTTGTTGATGAAAAAGAATCTATGAGTTAAGAAATAATATATTCAAGGTTAGAAGAATATTTTAATGTACCAAAGTATCAACCTGACCAACCCGTACGGTTTGGGTTACGATTTTTCAAACTGCATACATTGAGTTAGGTTGTTCAAATGTCTTCAATCCGACCCATAAATACTCCTACTATCGATGAAACACAATTTATCTCATAATGGTTAAACACCGCTATTTTAAAAGTGCTCCACAAAGTTACGTGAGACTCCTTTTGCAAAATAATCAAACATTTGTATTGTATTGTATATATCAATTAAAAAATCGTTTACTCAAATGCTTACCCAATAAATATTTATCGATAAAAATCTAACACTATAATTTATTTTTCTGGATAAAATTAGAGTGCATCAAAACCTGGTAATCGCAGTGTAAAACTGAAATTAAGACAGCTTCCATGAAATTTCGATTTCTGCCCGCTCACCAAATAAAAGACCAGTAAACGCTTGGACCCAACAAAAATCCCCCAAAGTCATCCCCTTTGGGGTCACAATTCTTCTCCTTCACGCTTTCTTTCCAATCTCTCAAAAACAGTTTCCGATCAGAACCCACTTCGATCAATCTCTAACACAATTCCAATCCATCGAAAAACAGGTTTATTTCTCCCCAATTTGATGGGTTCTGAGTTGATCGAATCAGTGAGGGTATCCAAGTCAAAGTCGTCGTCTTCCTCCGGAAAATTCTTCCCACCTGGTTTCAGATTTCATCCGACTGATGAAGAACTGGTTCTCTATTATCTGAAGAGGAAGATCTGCCGTCGATCGCTCAAGCTCGACATCATCGGTGAAGTTGATGTTTACAAGTGGGATCCAGAAGAGTTGCCTGGTATGTATACATTGGTTCACTTAATTATACTGTATTTCCCTGCTTCTTGGTGCCATGAAATTACTTTCTAATTATCCGGTAATCTTGGTTTCTTTTCTTGTGTTGATTGATTCATGTCGGTATTGTTTTAGATTTCGATTCTGACCATTTGCTCTTATTCTGATTGTTGAATCATAGGTGTATTGTTATGTTGATTTTTCTTTGATTGGTAATTGGTTGTTTTTATGCTAATCATATGCACGTAATCGATTGGGGGTGCGTTTGATTCTTGTATTCTTTTCAGTTCCTTTGAGAGCACTGGATTCAATTCTTCTGATCATTGCTAACTCGTGTTTTCATTTGCAGGGCAATCTAAATTGAAAACAGGCGACAGACAATGGTTCTTTTTTAGCCCTCGAGATAGAAAGTATCCGAATGGCGGAAGATCAAGCAGAGCAACGATGAATGGTTACTGGAAAGCAACTGGAAAGGACCGAATCATCAAGCGCAGATCATGTTCAGTTGGGATTAAAAAAACACTCGTGTATTACCAAGGCCGTGCACCCTCTGGCCAACGCACTGATTGGGTTATGCACGAGTACACCGTTGATGAGGAGGAGCTCAAAAGATGCCCATTTGCTCAAGAACACTATGTTTTGTACAAGATATTCAAGAAAAGTGGGCCTGGTCCCAAGAATGGCGAGCAGTATGGCGCGCCATTTGTGGAGGAAGAATGGAGTGATGATGATTGTTTGGATGTCGATGCTCTTTTGGTACAGAAACTTAATCCTATCCCTGTAAATGATTTCAGAACAGGCCGAGAAGAGGAGGAAACAATGTTATCAAGTGATATTATGGAGTTCCTAAACAAGATTATCGATGAACCAGAAATTCTCCCACCGCTGCCGCAGCTCTTGGAAGAAGGCCAAGAGTTTTCGCCCGAGAGTTGTTCAACCAAAGATGACGCCTTTGGATTTGAGACTCCATCAGGTCCTAGCCACGAGCAGCAGGATGTGCAGCCCAGGTCCGAGCCACAGCCTTTGGTGGTCAATGAGGACTTTCTTGAAATGGATGATCTGATTGGTCCAGAACCCTCGATTCATAATTTTGAAAGTTTTGCGTTTCCTAATTTCGATTCTTTCTCGGAGTTCGATCTCTACCATGACTCAACCAGGTTCGCTGATACGGGTTCTTTTGGAACTCAACAAATTCAACTTCAAGCAGCCTTTTTGGACAATGTTGAATATGGAACCGAAAACTCCGGTCTTGTGAGTGAAGTTATAAATCATCACCACGATGAACTTCCAATAAGCTACGATCTCTGGGAGTATGATCAAGGAGACAGCAGCATCATGACTGCTCAAACAACTCACAAGGCGATCTCTCAACCGTCATCAGGTAGTGAATCAATCTTCGAAAACGTATGATTTGTTATCTTTCAAAACAGAGAAATCGACATGGAACAAAATAAACAAAAGGGGATTGATTTGTATTTTTGCTAACATTATTAAGCTCGTGACCAGATGGAAAATGGCAAGAGCTCTCGAGCCCAAATGGGGGAGTTTGAGGGCAAAAAGCTTTTTAAGAGCTCCTCTGTCTGCCGTTCATGAGTGGTATAATAAGTACCATTAGCTGATTATGCACGTTTTTTTTTTTCGTTTTTTCGTGATGTTTCTAGGTGTAGTAATTGAAGAAAATCCCGGAAAAGCCGAATATTGTGTAAATGAAACCAATATGGACAATGGTACAAGCTCATGGTTCTCGTCTGCTCTATGGGCGTTCGTGGAGGCAATACCAACCACTCCAGCTTCAGCTTCGGAAAGCAGCGCTCTTGTGAACAGGGCATTCGAACGAATGTCGAGCTTCGGCAGGGGGAGAAACGTGAATGTAGCGGCGGCTGTTGGTGTTTCAACGTCGAAAAGGTTAGAGAAAAAAGCATCAAGTAGTAGGGGCATAGTATATTTTTCTGTTCTTGGAGTATTGTTGGCTATATTATGGGTACTTGTAGGAACATGTATGGAATTGTTAGGCAGATGATGTAGATTTGGAAACTGGTCTGCCGTAGTGATTTCCAGCATCTTACTGGTGACAATGGTGGCCATGTTCCTTGCGCGAATTGGGTGTCATCACCGAATAAACATGATTCTTCTTGTTTCTTATGAAATTACATAACTAACCTTTATTTAAACTACTGTCATGAAACGATTTTGTGTCGAGGTTGTAGGGTTTATGTTGTTTGTGGTCGGCTCGAGAATATATATTATCATATTCGAGCTCGAGTAATTACGTTCAAAATAGCGTGCAAGCTTCCAATTTTGAGTCATGAATGTCTTGAAATTTTCAAATTTTATGGGACTATTAACTCCTTTATTGACTCGAGCTCGATAAATTTTTATCAACTTGTTGGGTTTGACTTGAAAATTGATTTTAATCGAGCTTTCAGATACTCGGAGCTTTTGGACGAGCAAACTGAATCCACTTAGTTATGCGTGCTTTGATTTGTGTTTAAGATCGACAACACCATCACACCACTATTGTTATCGTCACAACTGTCACCGGCATATGTCTATTCTTTTGCGACATTTCATTACAATTTCTGTCAACCAATTGCGTCATCAAAATCCTTCAAAATCAAATTCCTTTGATGGATTCCAATTTCATCAAATTTCATTCGTTGAAACAAACACTCTCCCAATTTCTGTAAACTCACTTTGTTCTTAATTTTTATACCACTTCTATAGATTTCTTGATAATTCAATATTTATATAATTTTTTTTATCAATTTTAGTGAACTTTTAAGAATAATTATATATAATATATGTTGTAAATTATGTAAAATAATTATATAATTAAAGTAATAATAGTTTATCTCCAACCTGTTTGAAAAAAAGGAGCTAAAAAAGTCTTTGAATGGGTTTTCCTTTCTCTTAAAAAGGTATCCTGAGAGCCCCCTGTCCCAGGCATTTAACCGGCTCATGTGGTTCATCAGGATATAAAATATGTATTTGTATAAATTTAATATGTTGAATTTTATAAATAAGAATATAAATGACATAAATAAAAATAGTGAGATTCCTAAAATATATAATAAATTATGTTATTATATTATTAAATATATAATAAATTACATTATTATATTCGTCTCGTTAATATCTT